GGCACACATGGATAGTATACACTGGTAGAGCATGGCACATGGATAGTACACTGGTAGAAGAGCATGGAGATATGGATAGGCACACTAGTAGAACACGGAGATATGGGAGGCACATGGATAGTACACCGGTAGAGCATGGATGTATGGGAGGCACGGCACATGGATAGTACACTGGTAGAGCATGGCACATGGGTAGTACACTAGTAGAACACGGAGATATGGGAGGCACATAGATAGTACACTAGTAGAACACGGAGATATGGGAGGCACATGGATAGTACACTAGTAGAACACGGAGATATGGGAGGCACATGGATAGTACACTAGTAGAACACGGAGATATGGGAGGCACATGGATAGTACACTGGTAGAGCATGGCACATGGGTAGTACACTAGTAGAACACGGAGATATGAGAGGCACATGGATAGTACACTGGTAGAACACGGAGATATGGGAGGCACATGGATAGTACACTGGTAGAGCATGGCACATGGATAGTACACTGGTAGAGCATGGAGATATGGCCGGCATATGGACTCTCTCCTCTCTCTCTCCTTCCTTGACAACCACGATGACATTATCAGTTAAACAGCGATACTCCTCTTGATCAAACAGTTGACAATGAGTTTCTGGACTGCGTGGACGAGACACTGAGACACCATGGTAGCTGCACGCTTCACTGAGGCCATGTTTACACACATTTAGTGATGCCATAAAATACTCGTGTCTGACTGACAACATGGCCCAGTTTATTGAACACACAGTGTGCTGACTGACCCAACGTTCGACATACCTTGGAGACGTCTACCGAAGAAGTGGCCCACTTGACCCCGGCAGTCCACGCAAGAGGGTATACACACGCTAAAAGGTCAACGATGTTCCCTCGACAAAATGCAGTCATGCAGTCAATCAATGATGGCGTTACCTCTGAGGCACTCTATCCAAGATGATGTCCTCTCCTACACTAGCAATCTGTCCAAGATGGTGTCCCCTCCTACCCTAGCAATCTATCCAAGATGGTGTCACCTCCTACCCTAGCAATCTATCCAAGATAGTGTCCCCTCCTACCTTAGCAATCTATCCAAGATGGTGTCACCTTCTACCCTAGCAATCTATCCAAGATGGTGCCCTCTCCTACCCTAGCAATCTATCCAAACTGATGTCCCCTCTACTGCAAGCAATCTATCCAAGATGGTGCCCTCTCCTACCCTAGCAATCTATCCAAGATGGTGTCACCTCTACCCTAGCAATCTATCCAAGATGGTGCCCTCTCCTACCCTAGCAATCTATCCAAGATGGTGTCCACTTCTACCCTAGCAATCTATCCAAGATGGTGTCACCTCCTACCCTAGCAATCTATCCAAGATGGTGTCCCCTCCTACCTTAGCAATCTATCCAAGATGGTGTCACCTTCTACCCTAGCAATCTATCCAAGATGGTGCCCCTCTCCTAGCAATCTATCCAAGATGGTGTCCCTCTCTACACTAGCAATCTATCCAAGATGGTGTCCCTCTACTGCAAGCAATCTATCCAAGATGGTGTTCCCTCTCCTACCAAGATGGTGTCCCCTCCTACTGCAATCTATCCAAGATGGTGTCCCCTCCCACTCTAACAATATATCCAAGATGGTGTCCGCTCCTCCATTATGGTGTCATTTCCTACATTATGGTGTCATCTCCTACCATAGCGTCCTATCGAACCTGATGTCCCCTCCACTGCAAGCAATCTATCTAAGATAGTGTCCCCTCCGACCATAGAAATCTATCCAAGATGGTGCCCCCTCCTACCATAGAAATCTATCCAAGATAGTGTCACCTCCTACCAAAGCAACCTATCCAAGATGGTGTCACCTCCTACCATAGAAATCTATCCAAGATGGTGTCCCGTCCTACCAAAACAATCTATCCAAGATAGTGTCCACTCCTACCATAGAAATCTATCCAAGATGGTGTCACCTCCTACCATAGAAATCTATCCAAGACGTTGTCCCCTCCTACAATCGAAATCTATCCAAGATGGTGTCCCGTCCGACCAAAACAATCTATCCAAGATAGTGTCCCCTCCTACCATAGAAATCTATCCAAGATAGTGTCACCTCCTACCATAGAAATCTATCCAAGATGGTGTCACCTCCTACCATAGAAATCTATCCAAGATAGTGTCCCCTCCTACCATAGAAATCTATCCAAGGTAGTGTAACCTCCTACCATAGAAATCTATCCAAGATGGTGTCTCCTCCTACCATAGAAATCTATCCAAGATGGTGTCACCTCCTACCAAAGCAATCTATCCAAGATAGTGTCACCTCCTACCATAGAAATCTATCCAAGATGGTGTCCCCTCCGACCATAGAAATCTATCCAAGATAGAGTCACCTCCTACCAAAACAATCTATTCAAGATGGTGTCACCTCCTACCAAAGCAATCTATCAAGATAGTGTCACCTCCTACCAAAGCAATCTATCCAAGATGGTGTCCGCTCCTCCATTATGGTGTCCCCTCCTACCATAGAAATCTATCCAAGATGGTGTCACCTCCTACCAAAGCAATCTATCCAAGATGGTGTCCCCTCCTACCCTAGCAATCTATCCAAGATGGTGTCCCCTCCGACCATAGAAATCTATCCAAGATAGAGTCACCTCCTACCAAAACAATCTATTCAAGATGGTGTCAACTCCTACCAAAGCAATCTATCAAGATAGTGACACCTCCTACCAAAGCAATCTATCCAAGATGGTGTCCGCTCTTCCATTATGGTGTCCCCTCCTACCATAGAAATCTATCCAAGATGGTGTCACCTCCTACCAAAGCAATCTATCCAAGATAGTGTCACCTCCTACCATAGAAATCTATCCAAGATGGTGTCCCCTCCTACCCTAGCAATCTATCCAAGATGGTGTCCCCTCCGACCATAGAAATCTATCCACGATAGAGTCACCTCCTACCAAAACAATCTATTCAAGATGGTGTCACCTCCTACCAAAGCAATCTATCAAGATAGTGTCACCTCCTACCAAAGCAATCTATCCAAGATGGTGTCCGCTCCTCCATTATGGTGTCTCCTCCTACCATAGAAATCTATCCAAGATGGTGTCACCTCCTACCAAAGCAATCTATCCAAGATGGTGTCACCTCCTACCATAGAAATCTATCCAAGATGGTGTCCCCTCCGACCATAGAAATCTATCCAAGATAGAGTCACCTCCTACCAAAACAATCTATTCAAGATGGTGTCACCTCCTACCAAAGCAATCTATCAAGATAGTGTCACCTCCTACCAAAGCAATCTATCCAAGATGGTGTCCGCTCAATCCATTATGGTGTCCCTCCTACCATAGAAATCTATCCAAGATGGTGTCACCTCCTACCAAAGCAATCTATCCAAGATGGTGTCCCTCCTACCATAGCAATCTATCCAAGATGGTGTCACCTCCTACCATAGAAATCTATCCAAGATAGTGTCACCTCCTACCAAAGCAATCTATCAAGATAGTGTCACCTCCTACCAAAGCAATCTATCCAAGATGGTGTCCGCTCCTCCATTATGGTGTCCCCTCCTACCATAGAAATCTATCCAAGATGGTGTCACCTCCTACCAAAGCAATCTATCCAAGATGGTGTCACCTCCTACCATAGAAATCTATCCAAGATGGTGTCACCTCCTACCATAGAAATCTATCCAAGATGGTGCCCCCTCCTACCAAAACAATCTATCAAAGATAGTGTCACCTCCTACCATAGAAATCTATCCAAGATGGTGTCACCTCCTGCCATTGAAATATATCCAAGATGGTGTCCCTTCCTACCGAAGCAATGTATCCCAGATGGTGTCCCCTTAAATGATGCAGTCTATCCAATCTGGTATCAACTGAGGATGGCGTGATCTCCACCTCCAGGAATCAGCTTCCGTATATTTGTATAGGGGCACTGCTGAAGCCAGTGTGTCTATTCTATAATCTTAATGTCAGTACAAGTTGAAGGTGGAGTGAGTGGTTTCACTGTGTGGAGGGAGGGGTCGTGTGATGGCTGACGGTTGTACAACCGAATAGAAACTGGTTTGAAATAACAAGTTAACATCGGTCTGTCTAGATAGCTACAGGAATCATAATACGATGATTCTTGACCTTATCGCAAGATCTGACATTGCACTTGCGTCCGTGTCAATGGACAAAAGCCGTCGGTATACAGAGGGATATGGTGGATACAGAGGGATATGGAGGATACAGAGGGATATGGAGGGATATAGAGGGATATGGAGGATACAGAGGGATATGGAGGGATATGGAGGATACAGAGGGATATATGGAGGATACAGAGGGATATGGATATGGTGGATACAGAGGGATATGGAGGATACAGAGGGATATGGAGGGATACAGAGGGATATGGAGGATACAGAGGGATATGGAGGGATATGGAGGATACAGAGGGATATGGAGGATACAGAGGGATATGGGATATGGAGGATACAGAGGGATATGGAGGGATATGGTGGATACAGAGGGATATGGAGGATACAGAGGGATATGGAGGGATACAGAGGGATATGGAGGATACAGAGGGATATGGAGGATATGGAGGATATGGAGATATGGATGGAGGATACAGAGGGATATGGGAGGATACAGAGGGATATGGAGGATACAGAGGGATATGGAGGATACAGAGGGATATGGAGGGATGGAGAGGATACAGAGGATATGGAGGGATATGGAGGATACAGAGGGATATGGAGGATACAGTGGGATGTGGAGGGATACAGAGGGATACAGAGGGATATGGAGGATACAGAGGGATATGGAGGGATACAGAGGGATATGGAGGATACAGAGGAATACGGAGGGATGGAGAGGGATATGGAGGGATAGAGAGGGATATCTGTGCCCTTTTAGAATCTACAAATTACAGCAGGTAATGTGTGGCATTGAAAGGGGCAGGTTGTGTTACAACACTGAAACTATAGGCAGTTTATTCGGTATAAAGGTATTAAGTACTTACCGTAATTCTAGATCGCTCAAGTCAAGAGGGGGATCCATTTCTCTGTTGGATTCTCGCGGAGATCTTCTGGTGAACAGGGTGAGATGAGGGGATCTTCTCAGAAGATCAGAAGAGGGTATGTTCTGTGGTGATGGTGTTATCTTTGATGAGGATGTTCTGTGATGGAAACAGTGTGATCATGTCAGGCTGCTACGACAGAGACCCATTGTGACTTCCTTGACGACTAGGAAGAGAACACAAAAATATGTCCCTCAAAATAGCGGCTTGCAGTCCACTTGTGACGAACGATCTAACCTAAACTACAGTTGTCGTTTGCTGCACAAAGATTGTCGTCACTGACGTCACCGCACTGTGCAGTGCACGAGTCACACTTGTTGCGAGACCCGGGATCCCGTCCATGAGTTCTCCTGGAGACACAGAAGCACCTCCGGTTCTATGGCGACCTCGGCCGCCTCCAGCACAGACACTGTTAAGCTCCTGCTCCAAATGAAGTCTCCCGACTTCAGAGAGTGCAAGTGGTATGGTCTATCGATCGTTTGTGGCTAGGTGACGCGTACACACAGGTAACATGAGCGGGGTGGGGGAGGGTGGAGGAGGGGCGTTGAGATCTCTAACGCCTCTCCACAACCACTCTCACATACTCTCTCTGCTTGCAAGAATTAATTTGTGCAATGTCACACCCCATTAGCAGACGTTGTCGGTCCTCGATCCCCCTAATACTTGATTCTGAAACATGGGGATTATAGCGTTGAGCCGATTCGGCGCTACAGGGTGTGTTGAACATGTTCACAGATTCCACAGATGATTTGGTCCATGACAACATACAGTCATCATGGTTTTCACAAAATTAGGTCTAGCTTGGAATAAAGAGAGACGTGTCTAAAATGTTTACTGTAGAATTCGCTGAAATATACATCGCGGTCGCATGTAGTTCTACTATCTGTGTCCACACCGTTCTTCTATCTATATCCATACTTTTCTACAATCTGTTTCCATACCGTTCATCTGGGGCGGTGGGGTAGTCTAGTGGTTCCAAGCGTTGGCTGTGTCCACGCCAACTATCTGTGTCCACACTGTTCGACTATCCCCACATGGGTCCACATGAGTGAATCCCATTTCTGGTCCACACTCTACCTGTGTCCACACGTTCTACTATCTGATATATCTGTGTCCACACTGTTCTACTCTGTCCACACTGTTCTACTATCTGCGTCCAAACTGTTCTACTATCTCAGTCCACACTGTTCTACTATCTGTGTCCACACTGTTCTACTATACACTGTTCATCTATCTATTGCCATACTGTTCTACTATCTGTGTCCACACTGTTCTACTATCTGTGTCCACACTGTTCTCTATCTGTGTCCACACTGTTCTACTATCTGTGTCCTACTATCTGTGTCCACTGTTCCATACTGTTCTATCTGTGTCCACACTATCTGTCTACTATCACTACTATGTTCTGTTCTACTATCTGTGTCCACACTGTTCTACTATCTGTATCCACACTGTTCTACTATCTGTGTCCACACTGTTCTCCACACTGTTCTACTATCTGTGTCCACACTGTTCTACTATCTGTGTCCACACTGTTCTACTATTCCACACTACTATCTGTGTCCACACTGTTCTACTATCTGTGTCCACACTGTTCTACTATCTGTGTCCACACTGTTCTACTATCTGTGTCCACACTGTTCTACTATCTGTGTCCACACTGTTCTACTATCTACTATCTGTATCCACACTGTTCTACTATCTGTGTCCACACTGTTCTACTATCTGTGTCCACACTGTTCTACTATCTGTGTCCACACTGTTCTACTATCTGTGTCCACACTGTTCTACTATCTGTGTCCACACTGTTCTACTATCTGTGTCCACACTGTTCTACTATCTGTGTCCACACTGTTCTACTATCTGTGTCCACACTGTGCTACTATCTGTGTCCACACTGTTCTACTTTCTGTGGCCACACTGTTCTGCTTGCTGTGGCCACACTGTTCTACTTTATATGTTCACACTGTTCTACTTTCTGAGTCTAACATGTTTTACTGTCTGTGTCTAATCTGTTCAACCTTCTGTGTTCATACAGTTCTACTATCTGTGTCCACACTGTTCTTCTGTCTGTGTCCAATATGTTTTACTGTCTGTGTTCAATCTCTTCTTCCTTGTGTGTCCTGTCTGTTCTACTACTGTTTGTGTCTACACGATTCTCCTGTGACCTATTTTTGACAACAAAGCACTCGGTAACCGAAAAGTTTTTTCCTCTTACCAAAAAGACACTCAACCATATTTGTATTTTTGCTTGAAAACACTACGGAAGCATGCGCATATATTTGTCTTTATGGACACCTGTTTAATTAGTTCATTAGTAATGTGCCCTTACATCTTTTTACACAACAACTGCGAGGTCACATACGGCGACAGGGAGTCACATACGGCGACAGGGAGGTCACATGCGGCGACAGGGAGGTCACATACGGCGACAGGGAGGTCACATGCGGCGACAGGGAGGTCACATGCGGCGACAGGGAGGTCACATACGGCGACAGGGAGTCTTGGTGAAGTGCAATTAACGTTTGATCTTTTTTATAGACAACACATCCTGAGCAGGGTATTAAGGTGGGTGAGTATTAAACTATATATTGTGGGCAAAGTTCCTCCCCTGTAAAAATTGTTGTGGGCAAAGTTCCTGTGGAGAAAGTTCCTGTGGGCAAAGTTCCTTGTGGGCAAAGTCCCTGTGGGCCTCAGCGTGTGTAGATATACGTCAGGGTGTCTGGCTGTGAATGATAATATGTCAGGGAGGCAGGGTGGCAGGATGGCAGGATGGCAGGGCGTGAGGATGGTACGATGTCAGGCTGGTAGGATGTCAGGGTGGCAGGATGTCAGGGTGGCAGGATGTCAGGCTGGTAGGATGTCAGGGTGGCAGGATGTCAGGATTGAAGGATGGCACGGTGGCAGGATGGAAGGGTGACAGGATTTCAGAATGGCAGGGTGTTAGGATGGCAGGGTGGCACGGTGGCAGGCTGGCAGGATTTCAGAATGGCAGGGTGTTAGGATGGCAGGATTTCAGAATGGCAGGGTGTCAGGATGGAAGGGTGTCAGTATGTCGGGGCGTCATGATGGCAGTATGTCAGGGCGTCAGATGGCAGGGCATGGGGGTGTCAGGGTGTCAGGATGGCAGGGTGTCAGGTCGTCAGGATGGCAGGATGGAAGGGTGTCAGGCCTTCAGGATGTCAGTGAGGCAGGATGTCAAGATGTCAGGCGTCAGGATGGCAGGGGAAGGGTGTCAGCCTTCAGGTGTCAGGGCGTCAGGATGGCAGGGTGTCGCGGTGTCAGGGCGTCAGGATGTCAGGGTGTCAAGGCGTCAGGATGGCAGGGCGTCAGGTTGTCGTGGTGTCAGGGTGTCAAGGCGTCAGGATGGCAGGGCGTCAGGATGGCAGGGTGTCAGGGTTTCAGAATGACACACAATCCACTAAGGCACTGACCACTCTATCCATCTCTCTATAGGGTCATGCATAAGTTGCTGCCCATGAGGACATCTGATGACCATCCACAGGCCAGAGTAGAGATTGCTCCAAAGGTTGCCCGTTATGGCCAAGGCATGCGTACGGCAATTTATTACCTACGAGGGCGCAAATATCGGGGTTCATATTTTTCCTAGGGCAAAATATCACTTTGTCATGGTGACGTGACGTCATAAACAATTCTATGACGTCACGTTTCTTCTGTGACGTGGCTTTCTAAATGCTGCGACGGCGGGTAGCCAGCCTATGTTTGAAAGTAGATTTGGGTTTATTTTCCTCAATTTGAGGACTTCGGTAATAAACAGAAAATTATATCTCGCTCGAGGAATGCCAACATTTAGGCGCTCGTGTCGTAAACATACCATGACATGAGCACTCATATAATATCCTCTGTATAATGAGTCGATGTGAGAAACGGGACATGATTAATGTGACGTCACAATCTTTTTGACGTCACAGTCAGTACCGACAACATCAAACACGAGAGACTAACATTAGAGCAGACTAGACGTGAGGAATATGTAAGTACGTATCGTATTAAGGAAGACTAAGCTTGAAGGTTCCGTATTTGAATCTCAATAATGTAATATAGTTACAAGTGATCTCTCCGGCTGTTGGATCCAACCCTTCTGTCGGACCTCAGACCTGTCTCGGTAATAGAGCCAAAGCGAATAATTTCAACGCCTGATAGTATTTGATATTGGCATCCAACTACAGAGGACATGGTGCCAGTCTGGAACGCAAGGGCGTTGGGAGATTGCGAGTTCATGAACAGAGCTTTAAGCATAAAACATTGGGCATTTTGAAGCAGTGTTATATATTTCATAGTTAAGCCATCACCAAACAACTTCTGAGCATGCCCGACCTAACAACATAAAGATATATGCAATCAGGTTTCTACTTCAAGTGTATGATTCATAAGATTCGCTCCTCAATATGTACTTCAGTACTGACAATTCCAGCTTGGGGTTAAAGGGTGAACAACAGCCATAATGTAAATATTTCATAAACCCGCCCTCACATCAACATCACTCGAAATTTTGTATTTAAGACAAACGTGTTCTGTACCGTTTCGCAACATTTCTTCTGATATGTTTGCGAGTGCCTATGTAAGTCAGTTGATGATCCCTCGTAAGTCAGCCCACCGTCTATAACTGTATTGTGGTGACGATCCGGGTCGATATCACAGGGTATTAACGCCGGGTAGTTAGGGCTATCAGGGTGGGACAGCCGTGTAGAACGGTGTAACGCGAGCAGCGACAATAACAACCCAGGTAATATCAGCACTGGCTGTAATCACCTTGCCACGCGGGGTGGCCGCTTGTGTCAGTCCAAATCCGGATCAAGAGACAATGATCAGACCAGGTGTGTCCTGGGATTCTAAGGCTAACATCCACTGATGCAGACAGGTGTGAGACAATGATCAGACCAGGTGTGTCCCGGGGCTCTAAGGCTAACATCCATTGATGCAGACAGGTGTGAGACAATGATCAGACCAGGTGTGTCCCGGGGCTCTAAGGCTAACATCCACTGATGCAGACAGGTGTGAGACAATGATCAGACCAGGTGTGTCCTGGGACTCTAAGGCTAACATCCACTGATGCAGACAGGTGTGAGACAATGATCAGACCAGGTGTGTCCCGGGGCTCTAAGGCTAACATCCACTGATGCATACAGGTGTGAGACTAGGTGTTTCCCGGGACTCTAAGGCTAACATCCCCTGATGCAGACAGGTGTGAGACAATGATCAGACCAGGTGTGTCCCGGGACTCTAAGGCTAACATCCACTGATGCAGACAGGTGTGAGACCAGGTGTGTCCCGGGGCTCTAAGGCTAACATCCTCTGATACAGACAGGTGTGAGACAGGGATCAGACCAGGTGTGTCCCGGGACTCTAAGGCTAACATCCACTGATGCAGAC